TTATCTTTTTTCTTCCATTTGTATTGCAATAAATCGTTTGGTATAAAGCTGTTTGGAGCCTATTGTAACAGCGCCGTGCCAAATCTTAAACAGAGTACATTAAAAAATGAGAAAAAAAGGATTTCTTTTTATTTTGAAACAGTGAACAATTTCAATATGAAAAATTAATTTTCCTCAAAAGTCATAAATTTTTGGCTCTGTCAGCCAACGTTTATCATTCATTTATGTTATCGTTGATTAAAAAAAAAAAAAACTGTTTTTGGCTACTGACGAGTTTTTTAATTTTTTTTTCTCTTTCAAAATTATAATTTTAAATAGAAAAGTTGAGAATTTAATCGCTATCTTCTTGAATTGCTATGATTTGTTTTCACTTACAGAAAGAGAAAAGAAGTGAAGTAAGATGTTCAAGTATTTTATAATCATAGGGGAAAAAAAGTGAAACAAATTTTCCTCGGCAAAAAAAAAAAAATTGGAGAATAAAGGAAAAATTGAATTACAAAAGATTAATAACATTTTTGTGGAACTGTTTATGTAAGGGTTTCGAGGAGTCGGCTCGTTCTATGATAAAAATATCTATGCAAGTTTATAGATGAATGGTTGGATCAATTTAAAAAGAAGAAAAAAAGAATTTTTTCTTTTCATTTTTATAATAGCCTCACTACCCAACACTACTACCAGCAGCAAAGCAAAAAAAGTTTTGTAGTTATTGAACAGGATAGATACTATTTATTTGTATTATATCTGGGCAGTTTAATTCTAAGCTTCATCATTGTCTGGTTGGCAGAAATGAGTTTATGTGTATTAAGCTATGAACCACATTGGATTTAGTCAATCGCTACTCGACTGCTGCTAACTGAAGACGATTATATATTTAGTTGCTAACGAGAATCGTATTTTCGTTTATTTCTCAAATTTCAAAACATGGAAAAATTAAGAAGGATATCCAACCAATTCGAATATTTCGGTTTATTTTTTCCCTAAACTTTTTTGCAAAAACAATTAGGTCCGTTGGTGAGATGCTAAAGTTGTATTTGTTTTTGATTTGTCTTTGATTATTGTTTCATAAATACATTTAGTCAGATTAATTTTTTGAAAAAAATCTAGTTTTTGAGCTTTAAATGAAAAATTTTAAGCAAATATTTGGTCTAATGACAAACTCGATTACCCGAACATTAAGGCTTGCCAATCCGCATTGATCGTTTAGATGTTGTTGATCAAAACAGAATCCATATCTGTTCTATGGAGAGTACAGCGGAAAAAATTGTTCATTGTTTTTCAAACGTTTGCCAGTTAAGAGATTCAGCAAAAGATGAATGAGGGACATGGAAGATGAGTTCAAAGAAATGCTATATTTGAGAAGCTCGAAAATCTGGCATCCAAATGCTGCTGGTGGTATGCATTCTAAGTTGTTTCTGAACCAAATTTTTTTAGCATAACAGCCTATTAACCATGATTGTTTACCGTTTTTAAGTAGTTGACCATAGCAAACGGAATTGACAAACCGTAAAGAACATAAGGAAGAAAAAAAAAACAAGAGAAAAATCTTCATTGAATCGCTAAGCCGGTTTAGCGGTTAAATTAGTAACAACCAAAAAAATTACAGCAATAACAATCAATGGAAGGAAGAAAAAAAAGAAACAACAGTAACTCAACGTAAATATTTTTGAACAAAAAACAATAAACAGATACAAAGCAAAAACCTGAAAGCTTTCTATTTTGGCAAAAAATCTTTAGAATTCGCTTTTAAACAGCAATTTCTTCCTGCTTTTTTTTTTGTCTTTCAAAATAGAAGAAGTTTATTAACTGCCTTTTACTTGCTACAGTATAGCTGACAGGTTTAACAATAAATAGGCAACACTTAAGATCATATTGGTTTCAGTGGGACCAACCAAAATCAGCTTTTTTTACATAGACCTAAAAAGAGCAGCTCTGATCAACCTTTTTTTTTTTTTGGAATATAACAAACAAAGTCAAGTCGTTTTTTGTTTCGTTTTTGAGGTGTTAATAACAGCAAAAAAAAAAAAGAAAAAAAAGACGTAAAGAATTGATAACAGATAAATTGCAGAATTTAACAGACTATACTTTTGACAATTTTCAATTAAAAATGTGTTAAGTGATAGAAAAAAAAAGCTTTTTTTTTTGTTTGCTAAACTTTGTTTGTCATTTATCATCATGACCTACAATTGATCAGACATTTCGCAATATTCTGAACAATTTCTGATAAATAGAGGAATGAAGAAAAAAGGTCTTTTTTCTGCTTTCAAAAGAACAATAACAACTTGGAGAGACCTACACCTTGAGAGAACTTTGAAATAATGAGACAATAAGGATCCTTTTTTTCTGTTTTGTGGGCAGCAGATAACAACTTTTAGTAAGGAAATTCGACGCCCACTGTTCATACCATGTTTGGTACAAATGCTTATAAAAATATACTGAAAAAAAGAGTAAAAATTCCCAAGAAAAGAAGTGATCACAGGAAGACGCCACTACTTGGCAGCACCAAACTACATACTTCCGACAAAAAAAAAAAATGAGAAAAATACAGAGCAATAATTTCTTCAGATATAATGATTACTAAGAAAGAAAACAGAGGTTCATTCATTTTTTTCGATTAATCATTATCGGTTGTTGACTATTTTTTTTGTCAAACCGGGGCGTTAACCTTTTGTTAACCGGGAAAGTATTTACCATATGACCTCGCGGTGAATCAGATAATTCTAACTGAAATAATTGAAATAAAATCAAAAGTAGTAAAAATAAGCAGAAAAAAGAAACCCTCAACTTATTGATAAACACCAAACTACACACCGGACTGAATATTTTTGTTACAAATGAACTGAAAAAAGCAAGTCGAATTTAGATATCGTTTGCTGTCTATAAATTTTACCTGTGTAACATCAGAACTAAAAATATTTGGCAACCGGAAACGTCCAGCATAATCACTGGCTAAAGGTGTAACCCATCTGAAGCACATAAAAACCGGTAAGATAGAATATGCAACAAAAAAAGAGAAAGATAAAAAAGATTTGTTATCAGAAAAGATACTGTGATATACGGTAACTCACTCTGCAGCTTTTTGGCCATTTTCTATGCACAAGTCACTCGAAATTGATTTAAACACCTGAAAATGAAGGTTAGCTATGGATACGATGCAAAAAAAAGTAGCGCGTTTTTTTTTTTT